TTAAACTTCTAAATTGATATGATGTGGTACTGATAAGAGTATATATTTTGTATATTTAAAGTGGAGAGTTCTATAAATGTTAATTACATTTACTTGTTCCAGATCTGAGTTCAAGACCTGAATATCGTTGTTAATTTTCTGTCTCATTGATCTGTCTAATATTAATGTTGAAGTCTCCCACTATTATTATGTGGGAGTCTAAGTCTCTTTATAAGTCCTGTATGTCTAGGTATTCCTGTATTGGGTGCGTATATATTTAGGATCTTTAGCTCTTCTTGTTGTTGCATTGATCCTTTTATCATTATATAATGTCCTTCTTTGCTTCTTTTGATCTTTGTTGCTTAATTGTAACTTCTGCTTTTTATTTATTTATTTTAGCTCTCTGTTTGGTTGGTAAATCTTTCTCCATCCCTTGTTTAGAGTCTTTGTGTACCCTTGAATGTGAGATGGATCTGGATGCAGCATACTGATGGGTTTTAGTTTTTTATTCAAATTGCCTGTCTTTGGATTGGGGGATTTAGTCAATTTAAATTTAGAATTAATAATAATATATGTGAGTTTAATACTGTCATTAGGTGGCTATTTTGTCCATTAGTTGATGTAAATTCTTCATTATATTGATGCTCTTTTTGATAATTTTTTTTAGAAAGGCTGATACTGTTTGTTCCTTTCATATGTGTAGTGGTTCTTTCAGAAGCTCTTGCAAAGCAGGCCTGGTGGTGATGAAATCTCTGACTGCTTGCTTATTCACAAAAAACTTTATTTTTCCTTCACATGTGAAGCTTAGCTTGGCTGGATGTGAAATTCTGGGTTGAAAGTTCTTTTCTTTAAGGATGTTGAATATTGGCCCCCACTCTCTTCTGGCTTGTAGGGTTTCTGCTGAGAGATCTGCTGTAAGTCTGATAGGCTTCCCTTTGTGGGTAACCTGACCTTTCTCTCTGGCTGCCCTTAGTGTTTTCTCCTTCATTTCAACCCTGGTGAATCTGACGATTATGTGCCTTGGAGTTGCTCTTGTTGAGGAATATCTCTGTGGTGTTCTCTGTATTACCTGGAGTTGAATATTATCCTGCCTTACTAGGCTGGGAAAATTTTCCTGAATAATGTGCTGAAGCGTATTTTCCAGCTTGGATTCATTCTCTTCGTCACATTCAGGTACACCTGTATCAAGCGTAGATTAGGTCTTTTCACATAGTCCCATATTTCTTGGAGACTTTGCTCGTTCCTTTTTATCCTTTTTTCTCTCGTCTTGTCTTCTTGTTTTATTTCATTGAGTTGATCTTCGACCTCTGATATCCTTTCTTCTGCTTGATCAATTCGGCTGTTAAAACTTGTGCATACTTCACGTAGTTCTCGTATTGTGTTTTTCAGCTCCATCAATTCACTTATTTTCCTCTCTAAATTTTGTATTCTTGTTGACATTTCGTCAAACCTTTTTTCAAAGTTCTTAGTTTCTTTAGATTGTGTTATAACAAGTTCTTTTAATTCACAGAAGTTTCTTATTATCCACGTTTTGAAGCCTGCTTCTGTAATTGGAACACACTCGTTCTCCATCAAGCCTTATTTCGTTGCTGATGAGGAACTGGGATCCCCTGCTGAGGAAGAGGCGTTCTGATCTTGGGTATTCTCAGCCTTTTTTGACCGTTTTCTTCCCTTTGTTGTAGATTTATCCATCTGTGGTCTTTATAATTACCGTCTTTGTAATTGGGTTTCTGAGTGGACGTCCAACTTACTGATTCTCAGCGCCGAAATCTGAGCAACCACTGCACCGACCAAATCAGCGGCGTTAAGATTGAGGGTGCTTTTCCGACTCTGCACCGAGAACCGACGCTCCGAGGCGCCGGCAAAACCGCCTCGCCGGTCACAAGAGTCGCGCTGGCGACCCGTGGGGCTCCTCCGCTGGGAATCTCCTGGTGCGTGAGCAACAAGAATTCATGTGAAGGTGTGGCGTCCTCTCCTTCTTTGCGCTTTCAGTGGGAGCTACAATCCCGAGCTGCTAGTGATCAGCCATCTTGGATCTCTGCTAATTTTTATATTTTTGTAGAGATGGGGTTTCACCATGTTGGCCCGGCTGGTCTCGAACTTCTGACCTCAAGTGATTCATCTGCCTTGACCTCCCAAAGTGCTGGGGTTATAGGCATGAGCCACCCTGCCTGGGTTTTGTATTTTTTTTTTTTTTTATAGAGGTAGGATCTTGCTAGATTGCCCAGGCTGGTCTTGAACTCCTGAGTTTGAGCTTCCGAAAGTGCTGGGATTACAGGAGTGTGCCACCGTGTCTAGCCAGGAATTTTCCTGGAAGAAAGCTTCACTGTGCCTGTGATTCTTGTTCTGACAGGAGTGCTAGGTCCAGAATCGCTGTAAGGAAAGCATTTGGTCCCCCAACTGATTTCTTTTTTTTTTTTTTTTTTTTTTTTTTTTTTTTGAGACAGAGTTTCGCTCTTGTTACCTAGGCTGGAGTGCAATGGGGTGATCTTGGCTTACCGCAACCTCCGCCTCCTGGGTTCAGGCAATTCTCCTGCCTCAGCCACCCGAGTAGCTGGGATTACAGGCACGCGCCACCATGCCCAGCTAATTTTTTGTATTTTTAGTAAAGACGGGGTTTCACCATGTTGACTAGGATGGTCTCGATCCCTTGACCTCGTGATCCACCCGCCTCGGCCTCCCAAAGTGCTGGGATTACAGGCTTGAGCCACCGCGCCCGGCCTCCCCAACTGTTTTCTGGGCGAGTGTGTATGTGGAACCCCTGTGGAAGTTGGGGAAATATCCATGGAGAAGCTGAAGCTATGGTCTGCAGACTGCATTTCAGGAGAGGCTCTCAGCCCAGATAGAGCAGAGCTGCCTAAGAACGTGTTGAGCTCTTGGGGTTGGTGATAATAAGGCTGCATATGAATTGGGCCATTCCCAGGGGCAAGGGGGCCCTGGGAAGTGAAGAGTACAGGGCAACGTCCTTCCTGCTGTCCCCTGGGATCTCAGAAACTGGAAGGTTATTCTGAACACAACCAGGAGACACAGCAATCTGTATATAACAAGTTTAATAGGATATTGACAATTCCTTACATGAGCATCAGTACATCTTCTGTTTTAAAAAACTTCCTGGTTCACATCCCTGACTGTGAATCAGAAGTAACTATGGAGCATGTTGAAAATACTGACTCCTGGACCCTGCCCCAGGCTTACTGAGTCAGGACCTCCTAGTGGGAGAGGGCCCCTGCTCAGGCTGTGCCAGTGAGAAGCCAGTCCTGGGCAGCACTACACCAGACTGTGCTAATTCCAGACCCTTATCACTCGCTCTGTGGTCAGGGAGCAGCGGCTTTGGCACCACTTGGAGCTTGTAAGAGATAACAGACTTGCAGCCTGTCTCTGGCCTGGATCATACTCTGCATTTTAGTAAGATTCCAGGTGGTTTTAGTATAGGGTTGCCAGATGAAATACAGGACATTCAGTTAGATTTGGATTTCTGATAAACAACAAATAACTTTTTAGTATAAGCATGTTTCTTGTAATATTTAAGACGTACTAAAAAACAATTTGTTGTTTACCTGAAATTCACATCTAACTGGCATTCTATATTTTTATTTGTTCAATTTCTCACTCCTATTTGGGTGCATGTGATAGTCTGAGAGGCCAGGCCTACACAATGACCTCTGCTCCAAAATTAACATTATAAAGGCATTTTGAATGCATTCATGGAAAACCTTTTTTTTTTTTTTTTTCGTTTAAATAGTAGTATGATAAGATTTTGAATATTTAGGCCTCTCATAAATTGAAAATGTTGGGATTATAGGCAGGAGCCACTGTGCCTGAGTTTTGTATTTTGTAGACAGGATCTGAACTGCCTTTTCAATTTGTATTCTTTGGTTCAGAATACCAGGAAAAAACAAAACAAAACGAAACAGCTGACTTTACAAAATAGAAAAATAATTTTAAAGTTGTAAGTAATAAAAAAAAAAAAAGCACCACCAACACTTTAGAGGTATGATTTACTATAGTGGCAAAGATTTCTTGAGCCTCATTAACCACATAGTACATAATTTAAACTAATTTAATTATAAATATCAACAACAAATGCCATCAATCATAAACGCCAACAAATATAGAAAATAATGCTTTTTAAGGAAACGAATTTTTTTTTTTTTTTTTTTTTTTTTTTTTTTTTTTTTTTTTTTTGAGACTGAGTTTCGCTCTCGTTACCCAGACTGGAGTGCAATGGCGCGATCTCGGCTCACCGCAACCTCCGCCTCCTGGGTTCAGGCAATTCTCCTGCCTCAGCCTCCTGAGTAGCTGGGATTACAGGCACGCGCCACCATGCCCAGCTAATTTTTTGTATTTTTAGTAGAGACGGGGTTTCACCATGTTGACCAGGATGGTCTCGATCTCTTGACCTTGTGATCCACCCGTCTCGGCCTCCCAAAGTGCTGGGTTACAGGCTTGAGCCACCGCGCCCGGCCGGAAACGAATTTTAGAAGTTTTAGGCTAAGGCATTTTTCAGTTTTAGGCTAAGGACTGTCAGGAGCCATTGCCATTAAGGGTCAGGAAGTGGCCACACGGACCCCTGGGAGCGGCAAGGGGCTTGACTACTGATTCTTAACTTGTCCTATTTTCAGGATGTCAGCTGTCAGTAAATGCGTTTGCCCAATTAGTAAACTCTCCAAAGAGAACCTAATCTCACATACATTTTAGGATAGGTATTAAAAAGATAAAATATAACAATGAAATTGAGACCTTCGGTGTCTGCTGCTTCCAGCACTGGAAACACTTTTACATTCCCTTGGTCGCAAGGCTTTCGAAGCCTGCGTCTGGCTTGGTTTCGAGCGCAGCGCGCTGAGCACACGGAACCCGCTCCCTTCCCTGCCCCCGTTCCACCCCACACACTCCGGGATCTCTAATGTGGAAAGGTCTGGCCCTGGGTGGGAGGCTGCAGATCGTCCCGGGGCCAGGGTGCGCTGGGTGCCAAGCCCTCCCCGACGAAGTCTGTTTTGTCTCAGGCGGGGCTGAGTCACATAGAATAGATAGTCGGTTAGCACATGTCCTCCAGATCATATTATCCGCCTACAAATATAGCCTGTTAGCGCACAGGCACGGAAGGGTTCTTCCGGCTCGGCCGTGCTGCTCAGCGGGTGTAAACAGCCTCTGCGGTGTCAACTGCCGCGGCGGGCAGGCCGGGACAGTCAGCGCCCGCCCCTCGGGGCAGGTAAGCGCGGGGCGTCCGAGGTGGCCCGCGGGGCGGGAGCCGTGGCGGGGGGCGTGCGCTCCTCGTGGGAGGACGCGGGCGGCCGGTGCCCCGGGCGCGCAGCTGTTTACGCCTTCCTCCGTGCCTTGGTGACTGAGCGCCCGCGGCTGGGGCTTCGGCATCATGCGGCCGGTATCTGAGGTCCAGGAATACGGTGGGCTGGCGAGAAGGGTGAGAGCGTGGGGCGGGCGGGGGTCCCCGCGAGTGAATCCTGCTCCGGGTTAGCGGGTCCCCTGCGCGTACCGCCCAGGCGCCCGACGGTAAGCCCAAACTTATCTGCTCCAAAGCGCTGTCCAGGGGAGATAAATCAACTTTGTTTGTGCCCTGAAAGGGATGATTGACACGTGGCCCTGCCGGGAAGTCTTTTCTCTCAGCCTTTCACGCCCCCTGGCTTGGGGTGGGGACAGGCAGGAGGCAAGGGCGGAAAGTGACTGGAGACCCAAAGGAGGAGGACTCGTTTGGCTTGTTAGCGGCTCCGTCCTGTCGCTAGCTCTTCTGTGAAGAGGTTCTTCTCCACCCAAAGAACCTCTGCTAATCACGCCAGGTGGAGAAAAACCCTCGGATGCGCACATACGTCTTGTTTTTGTCTTACATTTCACTGATGACAGTGATTCTTAGTTTTCTTTCTTTTTTCTTTAAATAATTGAATTTTTTTTTTTTTTTTTGAAACAGAGTCTCACTCTGGCCCGGGCTGGAGTGCAGTGGCACTGCTCACTGCAACCTCCGCCTCCCGGGTTCAAGCGATTCTGCTGCCTCAGCCTCCCGAATAGCTGGGATTACAGGTGCCGGCCACTACACCCATCTAATTTTTTGTATTTTTAGTAGAGATGGGGTTTCACCATGTTGGCCAGGCTGGTCTCGAACTCCTGACCTCGTGATTTGCCTGCCTTGGCCTCCCAAAGTGCTGGGATTACAGGCGTGAACCACTGCGCCCGGCCTGATTGAACCTTTTTTTGACCTTACTAGGTGCCGGGTACTGTCTTAAGCACTTGACACACCGATCCTCCTACGTAATGTTCTCACCAACCTGTAAGCTCAGTGCTGTTCGCTCCGTCACGTCCACACAAGAACACCAGGCTCAGAGAGGTTAGGCCGTGTTCTCAGGGACATGCGGCCAGGGAGTGGGTAGGCAGGGCTCCAGCCTTAGCAGTTTGGCCCAGGAACTGCCCTCCTAATCCTGTCTGGACCCTCTGCCTCCCCTGGCTGGATTTTCTAGCTTAACAAATAACAATAAAATTAGTCAGATATCCCCAGGGAAACTGATCATGTGGCATAGATGTCATTTAATTCAGGATTTGGCTGACTATACTGACCTTACTTGACTATTTAGCTCCTATTTACACCCATTTCTATCAAAAAACTCACTGTATCATTCCAACCTGGTGTCTGGGCAGTGGGCTTATGTGAGGACAGAATGGAATTTGTGGGTCACCACAGCTCCTTGGTTGTCATATTAATGCCTTTTGTATCTTGGTGTCCCCAGAAATTCCCATGGGTTACAGTCGTTCTCTTGGACCCAGCAAGGCTGATGATAGAGGTTTTCCTCACATTGATGACACTCTGGAAGGCTGCTGCGGAGGGCCTGGAGCCAGGCAGCCTGGGGTGGAGGGGTCCCTGGGTTCTGAGGGGCAGGTGGGGAGGAGAGAGCCTCTCTCTGCATGGCTGGTTCAGGTGACCTCTAGCATCAGCTCCGTCCTCCTCTCCTGTTCTATCCCTTGCTCCTGTCCCCCTCCCAGCCTCACAGAAGGAGTGCCAAGAATGTCTTGGCGCCAGCATGATGAGGTAAGTCTCCTTCAGACTTCCCCAGATCCTTCTTAGGATGCTCTGAAGGGTTAACCCTGCACCTACTCCGCACCTCCTACCCAGCAGCCCAGTGTCGCCTGACGAGAAGGGAGAGGACTAGGTGACCAGGAACTCCCCTCCCCCTGGCATATGACTTCTGAGTGGAGACTAGTGCCCTGGTGCCAGGGGACATGTTTTTCCAGTCATGCCCTCTGGCTCTGTAAAGCGGATGGCTCTGTAAAGTGGTTCTGATATAACTGGGCTGCGGGGGAGGGGTGTGGAAAGTTATTCAGTGAAACCTCCACTGTGAACCCTTCCCCTTCTTCAAGGTCCCCATGGGACTCTCCCAACCCCTCCCCTCTACCCTTTCTCTTTTGCCTCCCACAGGGGTTGGTTCAGCCCCTGTTGTCTAAGGAACACGCTGCACTGAAATACATCCTTTGATGCTCTCCCTCTAGATTGGGAACCTGGAGGCATGGACAAGGTTTCTGTCTTTCTGCATTTAATGAGTGCCCATAAATGTTAGTTACCTAGGGTTCCTAGGCATTGAAAAACAGAAGTACACACCAGGTACACTGGCTCAGTTCACGTGGTTTCTCTGTTGAGGTTCAGAAGCAGGGGACTGGCACCTGTAGCCCTTGGACTACTCAAAGCCCCCTCATTTGATGGCCATGGCACACCTCTGTCTGCTGGGGCTTGGACAAGGTGATGGAGAGGCCCCTCTACTTCCCGTTGTATGCTACGGTATGACCTGCTCAGCTGAACTCGTGGGGGCCAGGCCGTGAACCCAAGGATGGGGACTCCCAGGTGCTGCTCTTGTCAGTGAACTATGGCTCCTCTATGGCTTGGTCCATGGACAGATAAAACATGATTAATCAAATACTTTAACTTGTATTAAGTGTTGTGATGTCAATAAACAGTAGACTGAGAAATAAAATAACAGGAGGGTTTACTTAAATGAGGAGGCAGGGAAGGCCAGACAGGAGGAAACATTTAAGGTGGGTTCCAGGGATGTGGGGAGGAAGCCACGTGAATGGGGGAGGAATGTTTTGGGCTGAGGGAGCAGTGTGTGCTGAGCTCTGAGGGGGAAGAGGATGGGGTGGACAAGCATTGAGGAGGGGAGAGGAGGGGTGGGAGGGGAGAGGAGGGGTGAGGCGGAATGGGCTGGCCAAGGGCAGACTGTGCCAGGGGATCACTGACTGTGGAAAGCTGGGATCCCATTCTCATTTCAAAGGCAGGTCTCAGGGGGATTGGTGCCAGGTGGTGGCATGATCTAATTCTCATTGGAAAGTGACTCTCACTATTGAGTAGAAGAAGGATTGGGTGGGGGTGAGTGGGAAGCCAGGGAAACAGTTAGGAGGCTTTTGCACAACTGAGGCAAGGTGTGACACTCGTGGGTGGTGAGAAATGCATGCCCTCTAAACCTAGGTGATAACTGGGTGTGCAGATGAATGTGTGTGTGTGTGTGTGTGTGCGTGCGCGCACGTGTGTGTGCGTGCGTGTGCATGCCATCTGCATGATGGGTGGACAGTGTGTGTGTGTGTGTGTGTGTGTGTGTGTGTGTGTGTGCATGCCATCTGCATGATGGGTGGGCAGAATGAGGAAACAAAACAAAAGAAGTGACTTCTGGCCAGGCATAGTGGCTCACACCTGTAATCCCAGCACTTTAGGATGCTGAGGCAGGCAGTTCACCCGAGGTCGGGAGGTCAAGAGTAGCCTGGCCAATGTAGTGAAACCCCATTTGTACTAAAAATATAAAAATTAGCCAGGTATATTGGCTTGTGCCTGTAATCCCAGCTACTCAGGAGGCTGAGGAAGGAGAATTGCTTGAACCCAGGAGATGAAGTTCGTAGTGAGCCAAGATTGTGCCATTGCACTCCAGCATGGGCGACAGAGCAAGGCTTCGTCTCAAAGAAGAATAATGACTTCCAGATCTTCTAGATTATGATGGAGTCATTCCTGAGGTGAAGAATTAAGGGAGGCCTCAGTTCCTCTCCTTGTGAAGCTTTTCCACAAGGCTGCTTGAGCATCATCATAACATGATAGGTGACTTCCCAGAGTGAGCGATCTGAGAGAAAGTCAAGACCTAATCTCAGAAGCCACACACCATTACTTTCACCACATTCTAGTCATGAGAAGTGAGTCACTAAGTCTAGCCCATGCCCACGGGGAGAGGAATTAAGTTCCCTTCCTTTTCAAAGGGAAGAATGTGAAAGAATTTGTGGGTATAGCTTAGAACCATCACATCCAAAGCAAATTATTTTACCTTTTCTTGTCCACTAAAGCTAGGATTAGTGAACTCTAACCTGCAGGCCTGGCACCTATTTGCTTATGGAATATGGGCGCTGCTGGAGCATCTGGGGACCAAGCTGGAGGATTTTCTTGTCTCTATTCCCCCGCTGCTCTCTGCGCCTATCCACCTGGCCAGCTGTACCTTGCTGCAGCCCAGGGCCCACCCTGGTTGCCATCTACACACGGGAGACTCTGTTGTTAGCAACTGCCAGGCACCAAGCAATGCAATCTCAGTTCAGGAGCTGGTGACTTAGTAGGTCACCTTGCCTCCAACCAGCTGTCCCACTTGTGATGACTGGGGAAGAGAAGGACACCCAGGCATCTGTCTGGGTGATAATGGGGCAGAGAGAGAAGCTGGCTTTGGCAGGCTTACTCCCTTCCCTGCCAACCTCTCCCCTCTGTTTTTGTTGAGACCCAGGCTGGAGTGTGTTGGTGCAATCTCAGCTCACTGCAACCTCTGCCTCTCAGGTCCAAGTGATCTCTCACGTCAGCCTCCTAAGTAGTGAATAGCTGGGACCACAGATGTGCGCCACTGCCCAGCTAATTTTTTTTGGATTTTTTTTTTTTTTTTTTTTGTATTTTTGGTAGAGACAGGGTTTTGCCATGCTGCCCAGGCTGATCTCAAACTCTTGAGCTCAAGCCATCTACCTGCCTCAGCCTCCCAAAGTGCTGTGATGACAGGTATGAGCTACCGTGCCCAGTGCCCCCCGACCCCTTCATCATACCTGCAGGGCTTCCCCTCTTGGGCTAGTCCCTCTTGTTCTGAGAATGTCTTCAGCAAGCAGCATCTGGATATGAAGTATGCTCACTACTCCGGATGGTTCTCTGGAGGCAAGCAAGGAGAGGCTTGCCAGAGGGTTCTCTTTTGTTACGTAAACACCTACATCATCTTCGATGTTGCTTATTCACCTACGAAACCTCAATTATTTACCATCAAGTTTTCTGAGCCCTGCACTAGAGCAAAAAGATTTTCCAGGCGTCATTTTCCTCAGTCCAACCGTTGAGAACCTGCTGATGGTTAACATCTTCACTCAGGAGCTGGAACCTGTTTGCACCTGGGAGTCCTTGGACTGGAGAGAAGGTGCCTGATGATATTCTGTGGCCTCACTGTTCTTTCCTTTGCCATGAGAGATGCCGCTGTCCTCCTTCCATCTCATCACTGCAGGTGTTTTCTCTGGAAGATGCTCTGCGACAGTGGACAGTATAGCCCAAATCGAGGGAGGCTTGTTCTTATAATTCTGCTATAACCACGCAAAACCAGACCCATAGCAGGGAACTGGAATCAGATGCTGTTTTGGAACCATGACACTCTGCTGTCAAATTCAGTGAGGGCCTAGGCTGAAGCTTTGCACTTAGGATGCTTTGTAGAATCTGCTTGGTTGTAAAGTTTCCTGTAAGAGGATATTGCTTTGTTTGTATTGAGGGTCTGGACCCTGTAGAGGTTAATTTTCCCTTTTCTGTGTTGGTGTAGTATATTATGACGACATTTCTTTTTCTTCTTTTTTTTGAGACAGAGTTTTGTTCTTGTTGCCCAGGCTGGAGTGCCATGGTACACTCTCGGCTCACCACAGCCTCTGTCTCCCGAGTTCAAGTGATTCTCCTGACTCAGCCTCCTGAGTAGCTGGGATTACAGGCATGAGCCACCATGCCCAGCTAATTTTTTGTATTTTTAGTAGAGATGGGGTTTCTCCATACTGGTCAGGCTGGTCTTGAACTCCTGACCTCAGGTGATTTGCCTACGTCATCCTCCCAAAGTGCTGGGATTACAGGCGTGAGCCGCCACGCCCGGCTATGATGACATTTCTATAGTCATAGAGAAAGTTTTGTTTTGTTTTTTTTTTTTGAGACGGAGTTTCGCTCTTGTTACCCAGGCTGGAGTGCAATGGCGCGATCTCGGCTCACCGCAACCTCCGCCTCCTGGGTTCAGGCAATTCTCCTGCCTCAGCCTCCTGAGTAGCTGGGATCACAGGCACGCGCCACCATGCCCAGCTAATTTTTTGTATTTTTAGTAGAGACGGGGTTTCACCATGTTGACCAGGTTGGTCTCGATCTCTCGACCTTGTGATCCACCCGCCTCGGCCTCCCAAAGTGCTGGGATTACAGGCTTGAGCCATCGTGCCCGGCCTAGTCATAGAGAAAGTTAATGTTTAGGACGTTACATTCTATATCTTTGCCTGAAAGGTTGTGTTGACGAGAATTTATTCTACAAAGTAGAGATTAGCTTTGTAACTTTACTAGGAGATCTCTCCCGAGCTGCTGAGGGACTGGCACCTGTGTCTGTCTCTGACAACTGTGTCCTGTGGGCTCCCCAATGTGGCTTCTCCCCTGGATAGAGAGTCACCTACTTTCCCTGGACTGACACATGGACTCTCATTTGAAACTACTTTCCCGGTCTCAGCATCCACCCTTGAGCTACTACTTTCTAGGTTAAGGTCAAATTTGTCCAGTTGTCTAGAGAGGCCTGAACTCAGCCCTGTCTTATGTGGGATGCCAGGGGCTGGGCTTGACCTGATACGGCCTTGTATTTCATAGCTTCCCAGCACCTTTGGACATCACATGTAAATCTCTAGCAAACGTGGTCATCACCTACTGTTCTCAGAGTCTCCAGTTTTCATTACATGTTTGCGATCAAAACTTCAACTTATGGGCAAGATGCCGATTTAAATCTTGCACATTCAAAGCCCTCTTAATTGTATAAGAGAAACTTTTTTTTTTTTTTTTTTGAGGTGGAGTCTCGCACTGTTGCCAGGCTGGAGTGCAGTGGTGTGATCTCAGCTCACTGCAATCTCCGCCTCCTGGGTTCAAGTGATTCTTTTACCTCAGCCACCCTGGTGGCTGGGATTACAGGCACCTGCCACCATGCCTGGCTAATTTTTTATATTTTTAGTAGAGGTGGGGTTTCACTATGCTGGCCAGGCTGGTCTTGAACTCCTGACCTTGTGATCCACCCACCTTGGCCTCCCAAAGTGCTGGGATTATAGACGTGAGACACTGTGCTCAGCCTCTTTTTCTGCTTGTTAAAGCACAGGGAAAACGGTGAACGTGGTGAGATCGCACATAGGATATACTCTTTCCCACCAAAATACTGAGAGTAGTAATGACTTAAACTACTTAAAAATGCGTCAGGGCCTTTGGTAATTAAATTTCATAATTCTAGGAATTTATCAAAGATGATGAAGCCATTTATTGTTGACACAATCAAATATTTAGAACACAAAGGCATCAAGAGACCACTCCTCTAAGATGGGAACTAGAATTACCTTTCTCTAAGTTAATGCATAATAATTAATAAGCAATTATTTTTAAAATGCAAGGGCAGTTAACGTACAGCTCTGGCTACTTCCTAAGGGCCAACTGGCCTAAGGAAATGAACGGGCCTCGACAGCAGCATCTGTGATACGTCTGGTTGATCTAGAGAACGGGAGCCCTATGGGTTGGAAGTAATTCTTCCAGCTTCAGTTACTCTGGCTGGCTGGGCTGCCCACACTGCTCAAATGCAGTTAACTTTACTTTAGCTTTTTGATTTATGCGTATGTAGGCTTGGGTTCTGTGAAGAAATTTCCTCCAAAAAACTAGGCTGATGGATTCTCTTTTTGTTTCTTCATTACTGGCTGTGGACTTTGATCTTTTGTTTTCAGGCTGATGCCTAGCATTCCTTTATGAGACTTTTATGTTGAAAGCCAAAGCCTTGGCCTGGTGCGATGGTGGCTCACGCCTGTAAAATCAGCACTTTGGGAGGCTGAGGCGGGTGGATCACCTGATGTCAGGAGTTTGAGACCAGCCTGACCAACATGGTGAAACCCTGTCTCTACTAAAAATCAAAAATTAGTTGGGCATAGTGGCAGGCATCTCTAATCCCAGCTACTCGGGAGGCTGAGGCTGGAGAATCCCTTCATCCTGGGAGGCGGAGGTTGCAGTGAGCCGAGATTGCACCATTGCACTCTAGCCTGGGTGACAGAGTGAGACTCCGTCTCAAAAAGAAAAAAAAAAAAAGGCCAAAACCTTAATTAAAATCTTTGCTGGTTAGATACTCCTTAGCTGAAGATAAAAGACCAAGAAAACTGGTAAAAGAAAAATTAAATACACTTCTTTTACCTATCATCTTTATGAAATTTACCCTTTTAGTGATTTTGAAATATGCAATACATTATTATTGACTATAGCCGCCCTGCTATGCAATAGATTCCAAAACATTCCTCCTACCTATCTGAAACTTAGTACCCTTCGACCAGTAAGTAACTCCCCATTCCCTTCTTCCCCAGCCCCAATCTCTTTCTACACTCTACTTCTATGAGTTCAACTTTTTACGATCTCACGTGAAGTGAGATCATGCCGAGAACCTTCCTCTTCTGATTAGAGAAGCTGTAGACCAAAAGAGAGGAGCAAACCAAAACCGTCATGCTTTTTTTTGAGACAGAATATTTTTTTTTTTTTTTTTTTTTTTTTTGAGACGGAGTTTCGCTCTTGTTACCCAGGCTGGAGTGCAGTGGCGCGGTCTCGGCTCACTGCAACCTCCGCCTCCTGGGCTCAGGCAATTCTCCTGCCTCAGCCTCCTAAGTAGCTGGGATTACAGGCACGCGCCACCATGCCCAGCTAGTTTTTTTTTTTGTATTTTTAGTAGAGACGGGGTTTCACCATGTTGACCAGGATGGTCTCGATCTCTCGACCTCGTGATCCACCCGCCTCGGCCTCCCAAAGTGCTGGGATTACAGGTTTGAGCCACTGCGCCCGGCCTTTTTTTTTTTTTTTTTTGGCGTGGACCGAGGATCAACAGTGAGCATGTGAGACTATCCATCAGAACCTGCCCCATGCCTGGGCTCAGAACAGTCCCTTTGCGACTTTGCATCCTTGGCCATGCAGTTACCTTTCTACAGCTCTCTTGAGCCAGAAAACAGAGCCTCTGTGCCTCCAAGTTTGCTTTGGATATGCTCCCTCAGCCCTGGGGTATAAATGGAAAGATGGAAAAATATCAACAAAGAAACAGAAGGTATGAAGAACGAATTGGCAATTTTAGAAATAAAATAGACAAAATAAAATACTCATTGGATTGGCTCACAAACATAATGGAGATGGCATAGGGAAGAGCTAGGAAACTTGTCATCCTTGAAGTAGTAAGACAGATCATCTTTCCTTCAGCCAGGTGATTCATTCATGTTTCGTCTTAAAGTTTGTGTCAAAACTGTTTTCTTTTATCAAGCTGACATATCTGTATTTTTTAATAGGTAATTTCACGTTCCCAGAATGGGGCATAAAGTGGTTGTCTTCGACATTTCTGTCATCAGAGCCTTGTGGGAAACTCGTGTCAGGAAGCACAAGGCTTGGCAGAAGAAGGAGGCGGAAAGGCTTGAGAAGAGCGCCTTGGAGAAGTACGTGTTTTCTCGTCTTGCAGCTTGTTTCATGAGTAGGGATTTCGGCAGGCGACAGTTGCATTGTGGAGAAGGTTGCTTTTCTTCTGGGATTTCTCACTGTTGGTAACATTTCCCTCATTAAACTTGAGAGCCTTACACTGTTGCTCGGTACAAACATGCAGTACCTGTGATAGCCACACTCATGGTTATAAAGACCTACCTACCACCCAGGCACCATGCTAGGCACCAGGAATCAGAGATGACACAATAAATTCCTCTACAGTAAATGCTGTAGCAGGCTGCCTAGCTAGTGTTCACTGAGCTAACTCACTAGGCTGTCTGGCACTCTGGATCTGACTGCTTTCTGGGGCAGCTTGGGGCTACTCTGTTGTGCACTTCAGCCCTCCCCCATTGAGCTGAATTCTAGATAAGAGTCATTGTGTTGGTGTCATTTTTACTTGGGTAAAATGGTGTCATTTGCCCATTATATAAGCTCATGAAATATGAGTAAACAAGAGTTATGTGTATGATATTGAACGCTTTGGAAAATCTACAAGGTAGGAAGGTTGCAGGTGGCTTTGCATATGTCTGCAATTTTTATTTCCTGTGGAGAAACCAGACCTGGAACACATGGGTGATGCATTATGGGTGCTGTTTAAATAAGATAGACACAACGGGATTGTGATTGGCATACCCATTCTCAAAGGGAGTCCCAAGCCTACATCAAGTTGGCCAATGGCGGTATATTTGTACACTTTAAGTTAAAAACAACATGTGTAAAGTGTGAATGTGTCTACATTCTTGGTTCTCCACCTTCATTAGCTTTTTTTGATTAAACAAATACCTATTCTTATCATGCTTGATAATTAAGCTGCTACTGTGTTCATCATAGTGGCTTCATGTGGTTACTACCATCCCTAATTTGCAGATGAGGAAGCTGAGACTTAGGTGAGTTGCTCAAATTCACAAAGATGGTAAGCAGAGCATGTGGCCAAGCCCTTTCCTCTATGTAATGCTGTAATCATAGGTAGTTGGAACATCTTTACTCTTGCCACTAATCTGAGATTGTCCAATATGAAGCAAAGGATGGCTTGAGGAGTTTAAGAACAGCCTGGGCAACATAGTGAGACACTGTCATTACAAAACAAACAAACAACAATAATTAGAGCCCTTAAACAAGACAACTCACATGGCAATGCATCCAAAAGACCTCCACTCACACAAATCACACAAAATCACTGGGCCATATGAGTCCAAAGTCACTCTGAGCCCGGCTTCGATTTCCTCTGCACACCTAGCAGGGGTTACTCTAGAGCAGGACAAGCTTCCCTTGACAGTAGGGAGGGGAGTTGGGGAAGCACCTGTAGCTGATGCAACCTCCTGAGCTTCCTGGAACGGGAGCCATCTACAGACGCCTGGGATCTGCAAACTGTTCTCCAATCTGCTTTGGAGTGGGAGCTGCACCTTCAACTCTGTCTTTCGTTGTGGTGTTAAACAGCTTCACACATCTCATCTGCATAGAATTGACCTTGACTTAGGCTCAGTGTCACTGAGCTTGTGCAATGTCTCATCTTCACCTAAGACAGAACACTTCTTGGAGATTTGTTCAGCTTTTCTAGCCCAAGATAAAGAAAACAGCCACCAAGCTGGCTTAGCAGAAAAGGAGGAATGTGTGTGTTTAAGAAAAAAACTGGCCGGGCGCGGTGGCTCAAGCCTGTAATCCCAGCACTTTGGGAGGCCAAGGCGGGTGGATCACGAGGTCAAGAGATCGAGACCATCCTGGTCAACATGGTGAAACCCCGTCTCTACTAAAAATACAAAAAATTAGCTGGGCATGGTGGTGCGTGCCTGTAATCGCAGCTACTCAGGAGGCTGAGGCAGGAGAATTGCCTGAACCCAGGAGGCGGAGGTTGCGGTGAGCCAAGATCGCGCCATTGCACTCCAGCCTGGGTAACAAGAGTGAAACTCCGTCTCAAAAAAAAAAAAAAAAAAAAAAAAAAAAAAACTTAGCTTCTTAGGCTCCTCAGAAATGGGGGTGGTAAATTTGCCTTCTTTACAGGTGTTTTTGAGCTTTCATAATATGATTCATACTGTGATCATTGATACTATTTGAAGGTTAACTTTTAGTTTCTCAGGATCTGTTTACTGTGCAAAGGAGAAATTAACATGTTGAAAAATTAATGCCTGCCTGATTCTAAAAGGCAACTGTCTGGTTCATTTAAATTTACTGAAACAAATAAAACTTTCTAGCTCATTCTGTTACCTCACTTTAGGGTATCTCATCCTGTAATTCTGTAGTTGTTATGTGAAGTATATACCAACGCTTTACAGTTTTTTTTTTTTTTTTTTTTTGAGACAGAGTCTTGCTCTGTCGCCAGGCACCCGACTGGAGTGCAATGGCGCGATCTTGGCTCACTGCAACCTCCACCTCCTGGGTTCAAGCAATTCTCCTGCCTCAGCCTCCCAAGTAGCTGGGATTACAGGCGCATGCCACCATGCCCAGCTAATTTTTGTATTTTTAGTAGAGATGGGGTTTCACCATGTTGACCGGGATGGTCTCGATCTCTTGACCTCGTGATCCACCCGCCTCGGCCTCCCAAAGTGCTGGGATTACAGGCATGAGCCACCGCACCCGGCCAACACTTTAAAGTTATAAGTAGAGATAAAATATGAATTATCACTCTCTCCAATTCCCAAACCCCTGGGCTGGCCTGTTAGGAACTGGGCAGCACAGCAGGAGGTGTGTGCAGGTGAGTGAGCAGTACCACCTGAGCTCCACCTCCTTTCAGGAGGTGGCGACATTAGATTCCCACAGGAGGATGAACCCTATTGGGAATGGTGCAAACGAGGGATCTAGGTTGCTCGCTTTTATAAGAATCTAATGCCTGATGATCTGATGTGACGGTTTCATCCTGAAGCCATCCCCGCGACCCCTCATCCAGGGAAAAATTTTCTTCCATGAAACTAGTCCCTGGTGCCAAAGAGGTAAAGGACCGCTGATTTAGAGGAAGAAAAAAGAGCTATTGTTAGGCTCTAAGTGAAGAATTTCTTCCCCATTGAGGCTGTTCACCATCTGGGCTGGGATTGTGTGTTCCTTTCCTAAGGAAAAGATATTTTATTTGCACATGTATTTATTTAATTAGTAGAACTCTAATGGTGTATTTGGTATGTTTATTGCATATTTGGCATTCTACTAAAACTGAGTTGAGAGGAAGATTTCACATTCAATTATATGGGTAATAGAGTGGAAAGACAATGAATTTTATTTATTTTAATTACTCTCAAGGAAGAGAATGGAATTAAAAAAATAGTTTATATTTCCCTCTTCACTTTCCTATCATTAGGTTTCAAAGTGAATAAGACATAAAATATATAAGAAAGAAATACAAAATAGATTTGGTATATAATTATTTTAAATGGGGTATATCTGGTTTTATTTTTTCTCCATTTTATATTGGCTGTACCAAAATATGTGAAATATTTATAACAATTTATAATTTGTGGTATAGGAACGATATATTACATGGGGCTTAGCAGGTATCATCTCATTACATTGCTAGGATCTACCCTCAGGTTCTGTTTAAAAAATGAGGAAAGAAAAGTTGGCCGGGCGCGATGGCTCACGCCTGTAATCCCAGCACTTTGGGAGGCCAAGGTGGGTGGATCACGAGGTCGAGAGATCGAGACCATCCCGGTCAACATGGTGAAACCCCGTCTCTACTAAAAATACAAAAAATTAGCCGGGCATGGTGGCACATGCCTGTAATCCCAGCTACTCAGGAGGCTGAGGCAGGAGAATTGCCTGAGCCCAGGAGGCGGAGGTTGCAGTGAGCCGAGATCGCGCCATTGCACTCCAGCCTGGGTAACAAGAGCGAAACTCCGTCTCAAAAAAAAAAAAAAAAAAAAAGTTAGAGACATTAATTTGAAAAGCGCCCAGTGAATACAAGAACTTGCAGTGGTTGTGCTGTTGGTTTAACGTTTTTGGATGGATCGCTTCTAACAGAAATTCCAGCAGCATGTCTTTGACCTAGAATCTGCCCCTTGTCCTGACTGCTATAGTAAGACCAAAATCTACAGGTAGATATTTAAAATTCATTTTTATCATATGGTTATTAAACTAAACCCCACAGAAAAGCTAATTTAAAGGAAAAGCAACAATCCCAAGCCCCTACAACACCTTCCAGAGGAGCGCACTTTCTTCTGCTTTTAAATTCATATCCCTTTATGTACTGACACATGCGTGCACGCACACACACACACACACACACACACACACACGTATTGTTAACCTTTTTTTTTTTTTTTAGACAGAGTTTCACTCTTGTTACCCAGGCTGGAGTGCAATGGCGCGATCTCGGCTCACCGCAACCTCCGCCTCCTGGGTTCAGGCAATTCTCCTGCCTCAGCCTCCTGAGTAGCTGGGATGACAGGCACACGCCACCATGCACAGCTAACTTTTTGTTTTAGTAGAGACGGGGTTTCACCATGTTGACCAGGATGGTCTCGATCTCTTGACCTCGTGATCCACCTGCCTCAGCCTCCAAAAGTGCTGGGATTACAGGCTTGAGCCACCGTGCCCGGCCCTGTTAAACTTTTTTGAGACAAGTCTTCTTCTGTTGCCCAGGCTGGAATGCAGTGGTGTGATCATAGCTCATGCAGCCTCAACCTCCAGGGCTTAAGCAGTCTTCCCAGCTCAGCCTCCCGAGTAGCTGGAACCACAAGCATGTGGCCATCAGCCCTGCTATTTTTTGTATTTTTTTTGCAGAGATGGGATTTCACTTTGTTTCCCAGGCTGGTCTCAGACTCTTGGCCTTAAGTGTTCCTCTCGCCTGAGCCCACTGAACCCGGTAATATTTTTAAATTTATCATTTTTATTATATTACTTTTAGATTTCATATGTAGATCCCGAAGCTCTGACTCACTGATTGCTGGGTGATTTTCCCCAGCTCAGCTCACTGAGACTAAGACCTATAGAGCTGTGTCAGCCAGTGCAGTCAGCAAAATATCTTTTTCAAATG